AGTCATGGAGCACATTTTTTGTTTGTTGTTTCTGGGTGCTAAGCAAGTTCTAAAGTGGTTTCACAAGACTGGTAACTGTAGTTCAGTAGTAGTAAGAAATTCATACATATACGAACAAAGTGGAGATATTAGCTAGTTTGGTCCGAGCTCTACAGTCGAAGTGAGATAAGTTAATGAAGTAGCCAAATATGATAAATGTGTGGTTGGTTTTGGAGACCTGTATTGGAGTTAATCATGTGGATAGATCATACGGAAGTATAAATAAAACAACTATCATGCAAATGCCTCAGGGAACGTAAGCTTTGTTTGGCTGCAGAAAAGGAGAAAATTGAGTAAAATGTGGAGTTAGTGAGTAAACATTTCCTTTGTTTGGACAAGGGCATGGGGAGTACAGTTGTTTTGAGGAGACAATTTATAGGTCAAGAAATATTGTCTCATTATGTCTTTCCTCTTCTATGTTGCATACCAAGCATTCTCTCTTCCTCTTCTTTCCCTTCTCTTCTGAGGATTTCAAACCAAGGATTAAGGATATATAGAAAATGAATTCAAGAAGATTTGCATATAACCAAATACGTAGTTTGAAGGCATGAAGTAGATTATTGTTGTCGTCTTCTTGAAACTGAATAAGTGGAGAATCGTTGTCATGCTTGTTGAGGTTTCTATCATAAATATCAAGAACTATTTTTTAAAAAGTAATACTAAGACTTAATTCTTTTTACTTCAATTAACTTCCCTTTATTAGCTTCAACTGTCTTTAGTCTATGGAGTATTGGAAGTGTTCAAGAGGCATTGAATTGGAACTTTTATGGTATTAGCACACTAACAATTTATTCCACTGTTTGGCCCCTTGAATGTTGTTGCACTAACAAAGTTATCATGCAAAATGGAAGTTAGTGAAGAATCGAAATTGTACCACTTGTGACAAGATTTTCCATGAAGTGAGGTACATAACTTCAGTGTTGGATGCTTACTGTGCTGAGTGGTTAATGTGATGGCTTCAGTTTGAAATCCTTAGGAGTTCCCTCTCTGGTTTAACGCCCTTAGTACTTGATTAAATGACTAATATGCTGACAACTATTAGCACTCACTCGGCTAATTGGATGATAGGTCAACTCATTGCAAGTGATTCTGTGTCAATTGATGTAAAGGAATTCCGCAATAGCTTAATCTCATGTTTTAGTACTTGTTTGATTTAAATCTTCAGTTGAGTTGTTCATTTGGCTTTGTCCTCTCTTTTGATATTGTTTAACGTAGTTATATGATATAACTGGATTATGGATGTGGGATTAGTTTCCATTCAATGTGTTCTAATCATATTTCATTTGTGTTAAAACAGTGGTCAAGCAAGAGGTGGTGGTTTTGGGAGGTCACGGGGTGGCAGAGGACGTGGTCGTGGATTTCGAGGAGGCAACAGAGGATGGGGAAGAGGAGGTCGTGGAGAAAAGGTATCTGCAGAAGATCTAGATGCTGATTTGATGAAATATCATACAGAAGCAATGCAGACGAACTGATGGGTCTGGTAGTAATGTTTGCCTCTATATCCAGTGCTTAGTGGAGCCACACCACAGACTCTCTGTACTTTAACCTTTCCATTTCTAGTTGCAAGAAAGAAAGTACTTGTAGGAGAATTTCAGCCATTCCTGTATGGGTATTATGCTTATTTAATTTTTCCATTGCTTTGGATTTGTGACTTAGATGGAATGATGTAATCTACTGAACTCTTTAATTTATGTAAGAGATGTATGATTATAGTGGAAATGCTAATCCTTATCCCATACCACGACAAGGCTTTGCCGATGGTGGCAGGCGCCAGCTGAAGGTGGTGGTCTGTGTCCTGAAGTCAATAATGTGGGAGTCAATCGTGAGGTAGGTTTTGTCACTCTATTCTTTGCCCCCTGGTTTCACAATTGCAGTCTTTGTGCAATTAGCTTTACTCTAAGCTTCTATCTAGTTTTATCCAATGTTTGTAATAAGCTTTAAAAAGTTGACTTAGGAAACAGGTAATGGGATCATTATTGGGTGACTAAGTTGAATCATCATCTGAATGAATTATGTCTTGTTTCAAATATATGGGAGGAGTAAGCTGAATGCTGGTGTTGCGGGGATCACAGATTGCTCATTGTGCTGATTCTCGCAGAGAAAGAGGCTTCATCCTCATTCTGTGAACATGACGTTTGACTGAAGTGACGCACTGCATTTTTACAGCTTTACAAAGCTTGTGCCTTGTACTGTAGAATTGCTTGGGTTTGTTTATTGATTATGTGCTTTTGAGTCTTAAATGCCGCTTCCCGAAGTGGCTTGAATTTTCTTTAAGTCTAGACTCTAGAGCTTCATACGGCTTGCATATTAAGCTATTTCTAATTCAAGTTCAGTGATTAAATCCTTGGCACTGAATAGAAAAAATGATTAAAATAGGTACAAATAAGGAATCCTAATAAGCGATTGGTCCAGAATCTATATAAACTAAGAACCTGTTTCTTTATTTTTGTGTAAATTCTCAAGTTTTTACTTGCGATAGAGATTCAGTCCTAATTCTCTCCAACGTGAGTTCAGGCAATCTCGAAATAATGTAAAAAAATTATAATAGAAAAAAAGTATGCATCTCTCCTAAAGTAAAGCCCTTCGGATAGAATGTGATGATTTTAACCTTGTGAATTAAAAAGAATTATTCAACTCTCATCACTGAGAAGGTTATCAAATTGATGGCTGTATTAAGTTACCTTTAGATTGGAGTAGCAACTGTGTCCAGAGCTTTACTGGTATGGGATGCAAGTATTTGAATGGATTCCTTCTATTTCGAGATGGTCTTTAATTATTGTCCCCCCAATAGGTGACTTTTTAATTTTTGCCTCTGTTTTCAATTTAATGAAAATATGTAGGCCAAAGTATCATTAACTAATGATCTAATTTTGCAAGACAAATTCAGAACTTTTGCTTTGTCTAACAACAGTTGTTTAGGAATATGCCTCTATCCACATAAGTCTGTAGGAACTAAATTTGTGCTTTGCGAATATATTTTTTTCCATGTCAAGAATTAAAAACAACCGCAAAAAAGGTAAGATTTGTTTGCTTGAAGGAGCTGAGTGATTGAACATAATCAATTTGAAGATCCAGAACCAATCTGCTATCAACAAACTCCTATGGGCTCTCAGTGAAGAGAAAATAGATAACTTGGGTTCAGACCTACTCACAATGGAAGCATTGTTGGATGATAAGGAAAATTTTCAATATGAGAATATTGGGACGATGGTACTCAGTTGATCAAGCATGGGAAGTTTCATATTAAAGAGGTTTACATGATCTAGCCAAAAAGCAGTGATTATCCTCTAGATGGCACTGCTGGAAAGAACTACTAAGATGGGGCATGCCAGTGATGATGTACATACATATGCATATTGTATAAAAAATGTACCCTAACTAAAAGCCTAAGACACGTCCTATTCGAATGTTGTTTCTCAAATGGGTTATGCAAAAAGCTATGCAATGGTTCAAGTACAATACAAGCATCCGACTTTGGGAGAAAGAATTGCAAATGCTACAAGCAGAAGACCTCTTAGCACAACTGTATTGAGAGAAACCAACGGCTGCATCACATCAGAGCTACCATCTTCAAAGGCATGCTACATAAGGTTCAACAACGCTATTTGCTTTAAAGTTGACTTCTCTTTTGGGGTTTCTTTGTTGTAGAATAATACTTTCTTTTTAGCACGTTTCAAAATAAATGCTCTTTCCTTTTTTAAGGACTCTTCAATTCTAAAAAGTTCTCAACCACAAAATTTACTGTTTAAAATGTCGTGCCAAGTTGAAACCAGAGAAATGGAGGGGTAGTTTTTCAGTCTCTCAGAATTGCCCACTGGATAGTTGAGCCTTGTTTCCCAAGTCTACTTGGTGATTAATAAAAAGTTCTCTTCAATTGCACCCCCCAACACCCCCCAAACAAGTGTGTTCCAAACATAAGCTAAAATCAGAATGAACACTGAAGAGGATCCTGGCATTTTTTTCACCTACAACCTGAACAAAGAAAAGTAAAAGCACACAACTAGTATATCCGCTACAGTAGAAATGAGAACAATTCTACATGTATATCGTTCTACACCACCATGCTTCCGAAAACAATAATTCCCAATATCTTAATTACATGGAGGAAAACTTAAAAAACATACAACATTACTCCGCACAAAGCTTAAATGTCGAACACCATTGGGCGACATCATTGCTCCATTGGTCTACTCCTCACTTTATCCCAACTAGAAAATATTAACCTCAAAAGAGAATAGAACACTGTCAGAATGCATGACTTTATAAAGTTCCAAAATGAAGAAGGCCAATACCAAGGATACAGCAAACGGAAAAAGAGACTTATAATATGCCGAGGGTATCGTCCGACCTGAAGCAAGACATTAAATCACGTTAGAGGAAAAAGTGGAACTCTTAAGACGAAGAGGAAGGCGATAAAACTCCTAAGCTTGCGATATTCTCTAATGGCAATCATAAGCTTCAATGTTGAAAAAGAAATACAGAAGCTAACAAAGGATTCCACATTTAACACAAACTGGCTAAGTAACTGAAACAACTATTCTAAGAAGTTATCTTTGTATACCACCCACTTGCAAAAATATCACCAGTTCCACCTACAGATTAGGTTTCTTCTAGCCCGGACTTTTCTTCTCAACAGCTATGCACAAGATGTTACAAGCTAGTCCAAAAATATATGCAGCTTAAGGTTCAAGCTGCATTTCTGACTCTCAAAGAAAAAACTGATAAAGACCAGAATATCTTTTATTTAAAGATACCCCAAAGGAATCTGAACTATTGTTTCTGTAATTCTTTATCTACTTCCTAGGTGCATTGTGCATCAGGATACTTTGCTACACCGTTAAACATTTCACGCACAGATGAAAACTAAATACATCTTACATCAATCCATAAATTGTCCGGACTAAGACAAAGTAATGATATCAAATCATGAGCTTTATTCAGATAATGGAGAGATAACTCACAGGATATAGCATATCTAATGCATCCCATGCTGCATGGCGGACAGCTCTTGTTGGGTACATGGGAGCACCTGGTGACGTGAAGCTATACAAGCAAGTTTTCAATCTTGTACTAGTAGCCATTCTCAACTCTAATCCTGCAAAGAGGTCATTGTAAATGTAACTCCATTCTTTACAAAACCCATATTTATTACAAATTAGCTACAAAACTAGCCTTACCTTGAAGGACCTTCAATTGGGAGAGATAATGCAACAACACTGGCTCCACTTTTAGTTTTTGAAGCTGACAACATAATTATAAATGAGAACAAATACAGGAAGAGTAAGGAAATGGCTTGGGATGTTGAAGATACTTCTCTTACCTGATCAGCTAGTTCAGTGACAAATATATCTGCTGCACCACCAATCAAGAAAGCATTCGGGAAATCAGGGAATTGCCTTAAGAAACTTCCTAGTTTGTCACCTGCAGAAAGATTAAACATAAGCATGCGTACTCAACCTTCTATGCAAGGTTACTGCTAAGATCAACTTACCTAGCTTATAGAAAAATATGAACCTTGAGAGGAAGAGAAATAGATCTCTTTGGGCCTGACAAGATGAAGACCGCAAATGATGTTAGGACATGCCCACTAAAACAAGACTTGCTTTGGCACACAGGAAAAACTGAGGGGGCAAACATCAGACCTGCAAAGGGATCTTCTTTAATCGGTCAGGAACAAGGGCAACTTCCTCGAGCAGATACTGTTACACGCATCCAAATAACTTAATTATCACCATTTGCTTTGATCGATCAAAAACAAACAAACAAAAACACCAGTTTTACTCCAAATACTTGAAGAAAATAGAAATCAAGTTACAGGTATTTGACCTTAAAAAGACTCTGGAAACGCCTTGTGTTTGTTTGGATGTCAATCCTGCAAAAAGGATATGTCAACCAATCACTTAACACATTTTAATAATTACCCCTGTACTCCATCCCCATACATATTCAGAGAAGTTATTCTGAAGCACGCAATAAGAAAAAAAGAAGCACAGAGAAAATGTTGAAACCCAAAAGAGCAGGAATATATTTAAATCATAAACCTGTCAGACACTACAGTACAGTTGGATAGCAATATTCTATGAGCATCAACTGGGTAAATCTCTGAGTAGCAATATATATTAACGTGGATATGACGAATGCAAGAAGGTGAAGAGCTTTGCTGATACTGATTTGTAGACTAGTAAACTGATCCAACATGATGATACATTTCGTTCATGCACGAGAAAATGAAAGCAAGAGCAACATCCAATGTTCTACTATCAGCAAGAAAACTTAGGAAGGTTGCATAAAGGGAAACAAGCGCTGATGAGTGTATAAAGCAACAAGCCATCCAGATTGTTGCCTAAAGGATAGACCCTATACAGTGAACTCTCATCAAATTCTAACCTTGATATATCTAAATTATAAAGATTTGTGCCGTCGAACTATTAGCAAGTTCAGCACTAGAATGGAAAACTCACATACTGGTAGCTTTACATACTTCAGACTCCATAGAAGCCGCAAATGAAAAGTGGCATTAGCAATCAATAAAATCTTAAAATAAGAGTGGAACTCATACCAGAATACATTTGTAGCTCCTTGAACAAGAGCTGATGAGTATCGGAGGAGGACTTCAGAATTTTCAAGTTGAACCTCAAACAACTGCAAAGTAGAAGAGATTTTTTAAAAAAAATAGTAATTTCAGTATCGTTGCGTGAACAAAACACACAGAGACCTCTCCTCCTACACCCCTTCCCACTTTTCTTACTTGTGAGGTCATTTTCCTTCCTCTCTTTTTTTCAGAGTTGGGAGTGGGAAGGAAGAGGCGACTTTGTACGAGCATCTTGATAATATTTACAGATCACACCATGAGAATACGATCTTCACTCTTGGATATGCCTAAACACTTGAAGCTGTAAGAGTTTCTAAGAGACACATTAATATACCCCTCCAAGTCTTTAAGCAAAATGAGTGAAATCATTTGGAATGTCAATCCGGACAGTAAACCCACTTTTGGCCCATTTGCTCACAGCATATACAAATATAATGACCAAATTCAAGCACAGACCACAATATTGTGAGAAATACATGATGCTAGACCAAGAAAGAAAGATAAAAAGGCTCCTCATAAGTTGGAAAAAGGAAAAAGAAGAAAAACATGTGCGATGAAGTCAATTGAAAAAGTTCATTATCAAAAAATAAAATAAAATGAAGTCAATTGAAAAAGTTCAAGAAAATATCAACACCAGAGCTATAATATCATCATTAACTTGTGGGTCTGAAAACCATCTTTCACTCCTTGATCTGGGAGTTCTCATTCTACCACTACATACAAAGTACAAAACTTAAAAGGGAAACTAAGATCATTGAAGGACGTAAAAAATCTACTAACCCACTTATGGAAAAGGAGTGAAAAAATATTTGCCGCAAAAGATTGGCTCCACAGTTGGACGATTAAATCAAGGATCGGTTTTCCATTCTGAGGTACATGGACAAAATGATCAGCAAGCACATAGTAGTAGCATGTCGGTCCTTCAGCCCGTTCCTCTGCAACCATAATAGCATCCTCGGTGCCGAGTATTATCTCTGTTAAGATGTTAAATCATAATATAAGTTCTCCACCCTAATAGATCACCAAAAATGCTTCACATTAAAATTTTCCTCTAGCATATTATATCTTGTGCTTTCTGGACACATTTAACTTGAAGAACAGATTAACGAAATTCTTCAGATTGAAAATATTAGTTCAAACAGATAAAAATATTAGCTTGCAGTCTAATATTTCATTCCATACTTAAGCTGGGATATACAAATTTTAACACTATTGTATTTTCGTTTGTCACCCAATTAGCTATTTCCCAGTATTGCCTGATATAAGTTTTCATAATCTGCAAGGAACATTTTTTTTTTTGACAAGGAATGCAATGAGCACTTATATCATTTGAAAACCTATGGGAAAAATGCCGCTCAGAAATACCATCTCTATAATAATATAATATAGATGAAATGGAGTATTGCTACATTCTACAACATACAGAGCACAACATTCCCTACACAAAAGGGCTCTAGTCTAGAACAGTATCCAATCAGAGCACCAAATTCACTTGATGAATGACAGTTCTCAATTAAAGATATCTTGCGAATGCAACTACCACACATTACACACATTTTGTATAAACATATTAACAGCATAGCATCTTTGTGACTGATATGGTTACATTAAATGACTCTCACAATAGCATTAAGATTAGACAAGTACTGATGCAACGCTTTCTCAAGACTTACTGAAGTAGAATCCTCAAAAAAATTCACCATCTCAACTCTTTCATCTTTTTTTTCTTTTCAAATTGAGGATAGAGAAAAGGGAAATGGGGAGAGGATTACAAGGTGGGGAATCGAACCTCAACAACAAGTGAAAGTCCAAGAAGCCAACCAACTGAGCTACTAAGATTCCCCACGATCTCAACTCATCAATGAGATGTAGATGTATCTTCATATCAATCATTCAGTTCACAAGAGAAGCAAAGAGATGAATAAAAGACCATATATTTACAGGAATCCCAATCTTATATTCCAAAGGTTGCTTTAGAATTGAAGGTGCTCTACAGGTGTAATTGGTAACATTAATGCCAACAGACCAGTTGTATACTTACCAAACAAAATGTAAATTCACAGTCGAGTTAATTTTCACACACCGAGTGTTTACCAATTTTATCTTAGCAACATTAAACATCTAACAGGCAAGCTTCATACTTACCAACAAAATGAAAGTCACTATCAAGTAATTTTCAAAACACACGGAGGGTTTACAACCAAGCCTGCCCAATTTTACCAATAAACCTCCCAGATGACCCCTCTCCTCCTCTCCAAAAGCACCGCTTTTGATTAGTTATTGAGCTTCAGTAGAAAATACATATTAATTCAACAGATCTCTTTTTGATCAACCAAGACTTTAGTTTGTTTGTCGTGGCTCACAACTAACAGAGCAGGATATTTTAGCTACCCCTCTCACAGTTTTTTTAAGCCATAAATATTCGTACAAAATGCAAGTAGAAAGAACTTTCTAAGTTTGCCATGCCTTTTTCATGTTTAACAATCAATAAGTTGACTTTGTTTTCCACATCACGGGAATAATATGCTTAACAAAAGCACCTTACCTAAGCCAGCAAAATACTAAAAGAAGAGTAATAACTTTGAGTTACCTTTTGCTGGATCATCTACTTCCAAAGATATATCAGCGAATAACGTAGTTAACAAAAAAAAAAGAGCGCACACACACACCACACCATACCTAAGGCAGCAAAAAATGAGAGAGTAACAACTTTTGAGTTTACCTTTTGCTCGATCATCTACTTCCAAAGCTATATCAGCGAAAAGCTCTTGCAGTAAGTTACGCCTCTGCGAGGGCGAAGTCAATGCCTGAACCAGAATTCGAAACAGATGCATAGAATTCAATCAACTCAATTAGTCAATGAAAACACGGGAAAATCAAAATTCAACAAAAAAGGAAAAGAAAAGAAAAAAAAGGGAAAGACGCACAACACAAAATCAAAGCATATACATACACGCTGAAGCTTCTTTTCAATCTCTTGTGTAAGAGCTGTGAGGTAAGCGGAGCTTCGAGCTGTTGAAACGGTAGGCATTGTTGATCTCTTCGAAATTGCCCTAAATTCAATTTAATTTTTCTAGATTTTAGATCACATTAATGATAAAATTTGTGGTCAGACAAGATTTTACATCTACAGAGATTGATTTTGACATTTATTTATTCATTCAAAGTATTTCTATTTCTATCTATATTTTTATTTTTTTTATAGAAACTTGATGGGGATAGGACGACCAATGGCACTTTTGAAAAAATCAGATATATATAAGGGTAAAACAGTAATTCGTCTTAGAATATTATAATGGAACAATAGAGAGAGAATTGACCTCTTCCATCTAAGGTTTGTTCTCTTCTAGATAATTCAAATTCAGACGCACACTCTCTTCAAAATTCCTCTCTTTCATCTTCAGCAAGCACAAGGTATGCTTTTCCTTTCAACTTTCTTTTATTAAGTTTTCCTTTCAAGTTTCCGACACTTTTTCTTGTGATTTTTATTTGATTTATTCACATGGAAATCTGTAATTCCCTCTCTACTTTATTTTTCTTATGAAAAAATTCTCAATTATTATTGAACAGGAAATAATGCAATATAATTAGATAGAGAAGATAGAAGAGAGAATGAACGAGTTGTTTGGGGGAGTTGAAGGAAAACGGAAAAGGTTGAAGGAAGAATAGAAAATATTTTAAGCGAGTAGATCTGGAATGATCTTTTAAGGGTATAGTTGTCATTTAATTTTGTTGTACTTGTTCACAAACTTCTCTCCACGTGGAGAAATATCAAACATAAATACTAAAATATCTCTCTAGAAATTTCCACTTTTACTTTAAGTAGGCATTTGGCCATGCGATACCATATTACGATATGGTGTCGTGAGATGAAATCAGCGTTTGGACATGCGATTTTACGCTGATTCCATCTCATTATTTCATATCATGAGAGGTGATACCATATTCTCCAAAAACCATGATATGGAATCACATGGTGATTCCATATCATGATTTGAGATATTTTAATACAATAATTGATCTATGAGTTTATATTTTGTTAAAACAACCCCACATTTATATTTACTAACCATTTGTTTCATATGTAAATAAAATTTATAATCACATCATTACTTTTTAAAATTTATTATTCTCACCAATATAAAGTTTATTATCACTTTAAATTTGGTGAATATAAATGATAAAGTAGAAATTCATTTGGTGAATATAAATGAGAACGAAGGGAGTAATACTTTTTTGATTTTTCATAATAAAAAAAAAACGTCTTAATCTTATGACTAAGCATAATATTGATAAAAGATAATTTTCATTGGTGGTGCCGCACTTTCTTAATCTTAGTATTTGCAAAATGTTCGTTCACATGACTGAAGGATATCAAGTCCAATTAATTGAGGACTTGGGAAAATTTGATCAATTAGTTATTAATATTTAGTCAAGTGGACTAGTTATAATTTTTTTGATTAAATTTTATTAGAAGTGTTTTTGACTCAAACTTGTGGTAACTTTTTAAAATTTCGTTATTCAATAATATTTAACTATTGATTTTCTTGTAAATAGTTAGAAGTTAGTGATGTTTGTTAATTTTTATCTTAGTGCATTTAACTCTAAGTTAATATGTACTCACTAATGTATGTTTTTTTTTTACTTTATAGGTTATTTGTAAGAGTAGTTGAGAGATATGAGCATATCAAGTACAATTTATGTTCAATTTTTTTAATTAAATTAAAGTTAGATGAAATAATTATTTAACTGAAGAACAAATAACTTTGTAATAATTTATTATGCAATTTTATAATTTTTGTTTATTTGATAAGATTGAATAAACAATTGGGGCTATTTTAATAGTTTTACAACTTATGAGATTTTTATATTTATGAGAAAATATACAACACAAAAATTTCATATCGCATGTCCAAACAAACCTTCAATTTCATCTCATGATTCCATATCATGATACCATATCGCATGGCCAAACGGGCCCTAAATATAAACTTTTAGGTTTCACACTCTTTCATCTTCTTCCAATGCTTCATCTATTCTTTGGGTTCTGTTAATTTTGGGTAAGTTATTCGTAAAATAATTTTTTTAATTCTTTTCTTGAATTTGTTTGATCTTCGTTAAAAACGTATATCTTTAGTTTGTGTCCTAACTAAAAAAATACTCATAATTTTAACATACATAAATAAAAATAAATAAGTCAAATAGATATTTAATTCATGTAGAACTTTAAGTACATTGTTGAGTGTTTGTATCTGTTATTTTTTATTGTTTACGCTTCATTGTTAGTTTTATTAGATTTAAAATAGTTGTAAGTAACTGTTGTATTGGTATTTAGGATGAGCAATTGTGTTTCACGGTATCTAAGTTATAGAATTGATTAGTCTTCAATGTGTTTATTTGCAAATTCGTTGATTTGTTGGTAGGTTTACAGTTGGAAATGGTTCGTTTTAATCTTCTGTTCAGTTGTTCTTTTTTCTTCTTCTGTTCAATTTGATTGTTTTTATCTATCTTTTCTTTGGTAATGGTTGTTTGATTATTCATGTTTCTGTTATCTAACATTGTTTTTGGACATCTCATCTAATTTTTAACTTATATACACTTGTGAATAAGCTGCAAGTTGTAACTTACATATTCACACAATATCCGACCAGTTAGTAACTTCGGGAGACTCATTTCATATGCACCAACATAAATTGAAAGAGGTTAAAAAATCATGGGCGTGGACATCTTTTTTTAACAAATAAGCCATCAGCAGAAATACTATATATAAACAGTCACGTGAACAATGCAAATTGAAAGACCACAATGAACATATATCTTACTACAATACAACACAAAACTTATAAATTAATAAACAACCTTTTAATGAAGATCCTGTTATGAATCAAAAAAAATTTCTCAATTACCAGTATATGATCTTCCTTTTGATTATACCTTTTGAATGACCTCGCAATTACTTACATAAGATTAGCATGTTATATATATTGTTCATGATAAATTGCTTTTATCTACTGAGTAGTGTTAATTCCGTTTTATTTGTAGGTTGTGCTTGCTACTCGACTATTCTCCAAAACAGAACAACCTTCAGTTCTCCTTCTTCAACTTTCAAGAATACTTAGGAACGTCCTCTTTCAGCGTCACAGGTGTTGGCGTCAACAAAAGTGTGAGATTTAATTGGTACGTAACCGTTAGGAGTCATGGTTACACAAGGCTTCCATGCCTCCAACTCTGCCATTTGTACTCACAAGGACGGTTTAATATATCAGCCCTTCCAATATCAATTCAATGAACAAGGTAAGCAGTCTAATTCGTTTGTTGTGGCATGTTAAATGCTATTTCTAACTTCATTGTAATTCCACAACTAACATGATGACAATTTAGATATTTTGTCCACCTTTAAAGGTATAGAAACATGGTCTACTCGCGTTCGATTCTCTTCTGCATTTCTCTTGCCCGAGTAGTTCCTCCATGGCAACGCTTCAGATTTAACTCAGTTACTCAACTTCTCTCCATTTCTACTACTTGTGCAAAAATAGTCGTAAGTCTCTTCAATACTCCTTTGTTCTTATCAGTTAAGTTTCTGTTGTTACCTAAAATTTAGATTTGAAGATACATTTGATCCATTGCTGATTGATATTTGTTCTTTCAGAATAATTATTACTGCTAGATAGAATAAAGTCCAGCTATCAGTAACAGGTCTATTCAGGCGATGTTGGCAATTCTTTTGACATTCAGTTTTAGTTTTCTGCTTGTACAATTCTTTAAATGCAATCTGCTATTTCAGAGTACTTTTCCCGATCTCCTCCTCCAAACTTTTCACGATCTCTACTCTGAGTTTTTTCCTTATCTCGGTCTTCTTTTCTTTCTTCATGTATTTGAGTTCTTTTAACAATTTTCGATTTCATGATTGAATTCCTTGTTGTTATTGTTCTTGGTGATATTCTTATGCCTATAGAAGGATGGAATTTGAAACTTTTTATTGAAAAAATAGCCTTTGTTACTTTAATATGATTTTTTTTGGCTATTTTCAGCATAATCTCTTAGTGAAAGTTCTCTTCTCACCCTTTTGTTTCAGCCAAAAGATCTTAGAAATTTAAAATAGAGAAAAAATAGCAGAATGTAGTGAACTATAGTTTTCTTTCAACTTTCCTTTATCTTTTGGTTGCTATGTTTTTTATAATTTTCTTTGAAAGGTATGTTGTGTGTAAAATGTCTATTAGGTTTAGATAACAATGAGTACTGATTTCATGTGCATTAGACTTCTTATTGAATTTTTTAAAAAAGTCCCTTCAAATATTTTGTTAACACCCAATCTAATAATATTTATGGATGAATAAAATAAAATCTTTTTTTTCATCTCCTGTCAATTTTTTTCATTCACTCTTCTTTGTTAATATATTTAACAAAAACATCATAACTATAGATTAATGATAATTTTATAGTTATAGATGATCATGTTTTTGAAATACTCTTCTCAAAGTTATTGCATTTGTTCTTTCTGAATGTAGAACAATTTGATTCGTGTTATCCGTATTGTTTGACTTAATAGTAATCATCTTAGTAGAGAGACGGTTCAGTGTTGGTTTGTCCACTGTTTTGATTCGATAAGAAAGAAATTTGAATTTACAATGCTTCGCCTTGACAAGATGAACCAACCCCAGTCTTTTTACTGCCAAGCAAACAAAGTTGTTGATGGAGCTCTTCTTAGTCTCAGCTGAGAACTTTGATTGTATGCATTCACAGAGTCTGTCGAGAACGAGGTATTTATAATTACATGTAAGTTTGACGTCTGCACAATTAATGTTTTCTTGAACAAAAATAAGTGAGGTGTTCATTGAAAACTTACGTCATATTTTTTCATTAGTCTATTAGTTTGAATTTTTTTTCCGCGAACTATATGATTGTGAATTTCTGAAAGCTGAATGAATAATGAATAACAGTTTCTTGGTTTCTGATCTCTTCTGTTATGATAAATTGATAATATGGGTGACAATAGGATTGTACATATTTCACGTAAAATCAATAAATCGAATAAAAAATGTTATTGATTTATCGATATTGTGTTTTTGATGTAATGGTGCAGAACGATTTAGCGTTATTGGACTTAAGGATTAT